GGGCGTAGCACCCACACTATTGGGAAATGGCGGCTTATAATACTATCTTCTCCAAAATGGGCGATCAGCAGCAGCTTCACACGAGTAGCAATGTTCGGAGGAGCGCCATCTTGCATGAATATAGTGCAATCCAGAAACTGATGTTGCTGAAAAGCCAGAAGGACATACATAGTTACGTAAAAATGTTTCATACCGCTTTCCAGTAACTGCATAGGTAATGGGATCCGCAGATGTGAACGGACCGATGACAAACACTGCCGTTACTCCGCACCACACAGTCAACTTTTCAGAGTGAAGAGGTAGTGGCTGCAGTGGGAACGAATTCTTGTTCACCCATATCGTGCAATTTTGCTTATTTACAGAACCTTGCATATGGAAATGAGCTTTGTCAAACCCCAGAATGTTCCAAAGCCATTCGTTATCCATTTCCATCTGCGCAAGAAATCAGAGTGCAAACCATTCCTGTGTTTCCAGATCAGCAGAATTAAATTTATCTATCATTTTCCTCAAGCCATATGTGGTCATTGGGCCAGATTTTATGCCTTTTAATGTCCAGAATTTCTTAATAGCTGTTAACACACAGTCATCATTCTAATACGAAAGCTTCATGAGAAGAGCATGATTCTTTTTCATCAGTCATGATGAAGCACTCAGACAAAATGTCAAGTGTGTCATAAGTGCTCTGCATTTTTATCTTAGCCATGTCTGCAATGCGCATGTTACGTCTCAGTAATTTGCGTTCCAACAGCAATGTGAACCCTGACAGCACTATCTATCGGTACATTTAGATACTATGGATTTTAAATCCTAATAACATGCCACATACTGTTGACGGGACTTGGATAGATATTCTAAGGATATAATAGGCAGTTTACTAGTAGGTCATTTTGAATGAGAATGTAATAAGTAGAACTTCAAATCCTGATAACATCTTGCACTCTGTTGATAGGAGTCGAATTAGGATGTCCTAAGGGTATGTATGCGCTTATCCCCTGAGCAATATTCTCATGATATCACAAATATGTTTTTGTGCTATAGGGATTATATAAGAAAGATTTTTATCAAATAATTTTATCATATGACTTTTTATGGAATCACGTATTTTTAACAGAGTTGAAATTACTCACCCTCTTAAATAATTCCAAGGACTTTCATTATGAGGAGCTTTGGATATACTTTCAAGAGTATATCTAAAAAACAAAGAAATCAATTCATTTTCTAATTCAGGCAAAAATAAATAACATACAATAGCTGATGAAGTACATGCAATATAATAAGCAAATTTTATCTTTAAAAAAAATTTCTACTTATTCCTTATAAAACTGGCAAATCTCCAAAAAATATATTTTGCAATTATTTTTAAGAAAATATATTTGTTAAAGATCTGCAACAAGAATCACATGCACTAAGACAAACCAATTTATTTTTACTCTATAAACTAGATTGTTACTACTTCCCAAATACGTAATACAATATTTCATCTCTAACAAATTTCAGCATTCTGATAGTCATAAATTGCAATATAAGTAAATGCTTAAAAAAGTTTGTAAATATAATTCAAAAGAACATGAAAGAATATGGATGTCAAAATCAATATTGTGTGTGGGGGAACTAAATTTATTCTTAAAACATAAACTTCCATAATATCAGCAACAAACACACAATAATTATATAAGGTAAAAAAAAATCTGAAAGGGCTCAGATTTTAACAACTGCCCAAAAAGATTTGCTAAAGTTTTTTATGCTCTCGCCGAGTTTGCAGTATACTAGTCTAAATATACCAAATGTTAAAGTGTCACCTATTTTACTACAGGCCAACATTTTATTGTTTAAAATATCTCTTTCAATAATTAGGTCATATGATTGTGCTTCATCTTTTACAGTAAACAAAGCCACACTCATTACAACTTTGTCAATCCACAGTGGAATATTAAATTTACCCAAGGTCACTGCACATGTGTACTTTACATTTCTGATTCCAAATAACTTTTTTTATTTCTAGTATTGGCAGTTTTAATTTTGAGGCTACTTAAGATTCTTTAAATGAATACTGCTTCCTGTATCAAATAAACATTCAATTAGTTTGCTGTTGAAAATTATGGCGAAACATCAGAAAATTCACCATAATTCACTACAAGACTGCACTGATCTTTATTTTCCAATCAAGAAAATCGTACAATATCTCACAGAAGTTATCTTTTAACTACACAAACGTTCAACAGAACTTAATTCAAAACAGCTGGAGAAAGCTAATCCGTGAATTCGCTACTATCAACAAGAGCAGTTTTCTAAACAAACTCTTAAAACAACAACTAACTGACTAATGACTTGAAAGGTTTTTCGTGCCACTTATATAAGCTTTTTAAATGAGCGAGAATCTTTCTTGTATTTTCTCAAAATCAAAAAGAGATATTTATTTACTAAATGTTAAAGGCACATGCTCTTGCATTTTTAATTTTCCGGCTTAGCTTGCTCATATATTTTAAGGCACGGCCTGCACGGGGAATAAAACAATTTAGTTTATAATTCTACTAACATTAGCTATTTAAATACCAAATCTGTAACAATACATTTGTATAACATATATATCTTATCTGAGGAAAGTCAACTTGCTCAGTCAGTTTCATTTTTCACTGAACTTTATGAATTTTACACAGTCCAAAAGTTTAAATTTTTATAAGCTCTGAATGATACATTTGTTTTAAAACTAAATTTGAGAAAAGAGCCTACATTTTATAAATCTGGAAATTCAAAATCTGAAAAAGTAAAAAATCCAGACCACAATCAACCCTCAATTAAATAATAGAAACAAAATTTGAAAGTGTGCTACATTATTGATACTATGATACAAAATAAAAAATGTAGTTAATATTTATTGATTTTTAACAAATTAATACTAACAAAATAGCAATAGGTATATGTATATAAATGGGGAAAAACTTACTTTATTTCCTGACTTAAAACTTCATCCGTAAGTTGAGCTGTGTGACCAATTACAAAGAATCGCTGATTCCACGCTGAATTGTTTCGAATATCTTGCTCTAAAAGACAATTCACAAATTCTAATTCATGTTCCCATAAATCAAATTCTTTAATCACCCACTGCCTGGAAATATATAAAGTTGTACTAATTATTTCACTGTTCTATTAACAATTCTGATACTGAAAGAATTTGAAGTTTTTTCTGGTATAAAATTTATCAAAGGGGGAAAAAAACTAAAATTTTAATTTAACACAGCAGAGATTGTTATTACATCATATTAAAAGAGATATTCTGATTTAAATACATTTTGCACAAGAAAAATGTAGAAAGTTCTCGAAAAATTTACTTCATTATCTGTAATGTTTGAACATTTTTTATGGATGCGGCTATAAATACTTCAGGGTGGGTTAGGTATAACTATACACAAACGAACCTGCTAAAACAAACTTCAAGAAACCAGAAGTCTGGTTTGCTATATCCTATACAAAAAGGGGAAAAAATCTATTATCTTGCAAAAATGTGTAGAAATTGAGTGATGAATTAAAAAAAAAATTATGGTACTTTTCCGTTTTGCCGGCGCAAGCGATAAAGTCGCCAATAATGGTACAGCCGATGCCAAACTGAATATTCTCGCTGGTAACCTTTTAAGCCTCATTTTCAAAACAAGTCGCAGCTTTTTCTTATCAGATTGATTGGTTTTTTTCAATACTGGCATATAATTACATAGAATTTTTATCAGATAGTTCAGTTTTATGTCTAAGGCCATTTTCAGTAGTTAAGTCAATTAGGATGCAATCACAGCTCTTACCCGAAGCCGAAAATATAGAAAAGGTAAAGTCAAGGGTTAAATTCATCAATTCTAATAAGGATACATTAGCGAAGTAAAGCACTGCAGTTTTACATAATTTCTAAGTAAGCTATTCGTACGAATTGAAATATTTCTTGCATTTAAACTTGTGTTCCAAATTAAGATTTAACTTGAAATTAATGTAGATAATTACTGAGAGCATTAGATTTTTGTAGAGTAGTTTACGTGAGATGAGATAGCTTGGGGTCACGTGATATAAACCGGCGAATTAGGATTTTGAACCATGAAAGCATAGTAAATTCTTAAATTAATGTCTTTTTACAAATTTATTGTCTTTATTTATCGGCTTTTTTAAAAGTTTTAAGTGATATTAAAATGTTTATGCCTTCAAAAAATGAATTCTTAGAACTAACATTTTTTAAATATTTTTTATGTGTATACTGTATGTTGTCGCCAATAAAGTCTGCTTGGCGATATTTGCGCCGGCGAAACAGAAAAGTACCAAAATTATTAACATTGTTGCATCTACCACATACAATTATTATTTTGCACGGTTATTAAATTTGTTGGCTGTTATTTCTATTTTTGTTATATGATCTTGACAAATTGCTTGGCATAAAGCAATTCCTACCTCAAACTACTCATTTATAGCTATGAATAATTATTTTATTCATGAAAAACAAAAAAAATTTTGATGACTTATACCTTTTACTTAACGTCTGAATATAAAAATAAGTTAATTTTTTTGATGGTGAGATGCAGATTGAAAGAAAATTTTAATCCATATTTTTGTCCAAAAATTAAGACGATGCTATCACTCTCGGTTTAACAGTTTATATGTATAAAACCTTATTAATGAAATGTGTCACATTCTTGACATCCACTGTTGTAAGAAGTTCTTGCCTTGTGTTGCAATTTCTCAGCATTTTCTTCAGCTTCAGAAGAATATCTGAATTCAGCATTTCTCATTTTAATTTTTATCATAGTATCACTTGTATCTTCCCATCTAACAACATTATCATCACATGATTGGATAAATCTTAATTTCAGCTTCCTCTGCAACACTGTTTACTAGACCCGCATATCAAAAACTTCAGATGGTTGATTCTGTTAGGAGTTGCAAAGACTTTTCTAGCATTAATATTCCATCAAGAAATGAAACAGTAGCATTAACAGTTCGTCATACTTCTTCAAAATGCTTAAAAACAGCTACTTCCTGTAGTGACACTTCAAATTTCTGATTGTGCCTTGATGTGTGAATAATCAACCTTGAATAGTGCTCTGTTTGACAGATTAATCAAAGAATGCATGGAATCAAAGACCCACTGAGTTTCTTTGGCTGAACAGATTATTTTGCTATACACTATATGGTCCTAAGATGGTGTCCTAAGATGTGCTCATTGCATCTTTGTTTTCCAATAATTGGGTCCAAATCTGTCTTGCAAAGCCATTTCTTAGGATACACAGAAACATAGGAGCAAAAATAAAAGAAATGTAAAAGTGATTTTTTTATTTTTATTTTTATTTTTATTTATTTATTTATTTATTTATTTTTTTTTTACGAATCAGATGAAAATCCTAACATTCTAAATACGAATGGCTGTAAGAGTTAATAATTTTATTTTTAAAACTTGCAGAAATGCTAGGAAAAATAAGATATGCTTTCAATTAATGATATCCTGTTTTCATACCTTTGAAAGTTCGCTAAAATGGTATTTAATAACATTAAGTACATAAGAAATTCGACGGGACCAAAAGTTTTGTCTGTTATAAGCCAGGTTAATTTCAACAGGATTTGAATGCATCAACCTATCTACAAACAAAAGCTACAAAACTGATTGCAGGGTTCTACTGTATCTAGAAAGAAGCTTGTGCTAATGTCCTTGTGACCCTAATTAGACTGGAAGCGAGTTATCGCTTAGTCTGAACTACATAAAGTAGTAATTTTTCTTTTTTTCCTTAAATGAAAAGAAAGATACTGCTTCTATGACAGATAAACCTTCACTACTTGCGGGTATTTAAATTACCACAAGATAAATTCAAATGGTGTGCATTTAAACAAATAAGATGGAGCTGCCAGATGCTCTAATCAAACATTCAAACCATCAAACACACACACACACACAATAAAAAATAAAAAAATAAAAAATATTAAACCCTCAGCTTAAACACACAAACAACTAATTTGCATTATAGTAAGGATTACAGAAAGAAGAAGTGTTAAATAAAGTAAAGAAGTGTTATAGTAAAGGTTTAAATTACACTATTAACAATACCTTATTATGTTCTTGAGCATGAATAAAATTAGATTAAAAAAAAAGCTCCTAGAGTATAAATAAAATTAGATCAAAAAAAGCTCCAAGAGAAAATTTCCACAGGATTGCTTAATACTGAATTACCTCAGCAGCAAAAGTAAATACAAATTAATGCCTATATTATCATTACGAAAATGAATTTCAAATGCCTATAAGGATCTATAAACATGAATAATTGATAAAAGAAACCACTGTAAATGGAATACAACAGAATAAGTCACATGTTGCAAAATACTGAAATAGAAAAGCAGAAACCAAGCATCAAAAGAAGAAAATAATGCAAGAATTAATATGCAATTTATACTTTATAAATCTTCCAAAAATATATATTCTTATATTAATATTTTTTATTCCTTCATTAAAAAAAAAAGTAGGAGACTGCAGCTATAGCTTTTATTTTTTCATGGTATGTAAAGCATGCAATACAAAATAAATAATTCGCAAGTATTTCAGTTTCACAGATCCATAATCCCTTTAGGCGTAATGTAAAACTGAGAGCTTTCAGACCCCCCCTTTTTTTAATTTAGTGTGTGCTTAACTTGTAAATTGTCAAAATGTCAAGTTATTTGTAAGAGATAAAAATTAATCAAGAATGTACTACAAATAGTTTTATAAAAACAAATATGAATTTCAAAATTCTTAATTTTTAATTATTATTTTAGGATTAATTAATGAATCAATTGTTAGTTAATATATTACTTGAAAAGTTTAAAACTGCTATTGCAGTTTGCAGTATACAAATTATTATTGTACTATTTGCAGTACACAAACTGCCATTTATTAAACTCAGCCACTTGACAGACTCAAATACTCTTGGAACAGAAGTGATTATAATAAGCAGCAGGCACTGTATATTGTTTTACATATACAGTCAAAAGTCGTTAATTTGGACACCCATAATCCAGACCTCAAAGCTACAAACTTTCTGCGCATGTGTCAAGTTGACGCATACACATGTGCGTAGGCATTTACACATGCGCGTAAGACCTTTACGGCTGCGAATATGCGTGTGCACATGCGCATAATACGTTTACGCATGCACGTTTAATGTTAAGACGGACGGTATAAGCTAAGCTAAAATTATCTAATTCAGTTAATGTTGCAGATTGCATAGTTCCTTAATCTTCGAATTGGATCCGGCTTATTATTTTTTGCAGACTGTTAGAGCAATTTTATAAAAGTAAGCTTGAACTTTCGATTATGTCAAATAGAATTTCCGATATATATTTACTTGTATGTAAAGGATCTACAAAGCGAAAGTATGTTTCGAAGTCCATTAAGCAGAAAGTGGAATTGCTGCAAAAAATGGATAAAGGCATATCCTTTGATTATCTAATCATTCCGAAATATGTTTATCAATTTCAAAATATCCCTCCCCCTGCTGCTCTGCGGGGGGAGGGAAACAACACGGCGCCCAATCAATTGGAACTTGATCTGTCAGCACTATCCTTATCTTCAGGGCAGATGTTTTTATTTTATTTGGCTTATAATTCCTTACTAAATGTAGTATTTCATGTCGATGTACTCTGTCTTTCATATGATTTAAATCAAGTTCCTCGTCATAATTCGCTTCCGATATTGAAGAAAGTGACACAGAGGTTATTGAAAACGAAAAAATTTCGATTGACAAATTAGTCGGTATTCTCGACACAGCAATTATAGGACTTGAACAGCGGAACTTTGTAACTAAACAAGAAATTATGTCTGTTTAATAGAATTAAAGAGAAAGTATTATCACATGAAACGAAGCAACTTAAACAACTTACACTGAAAGAAATGTTTAATAAAGCAAACAAATAAATATTAAGCTTTTTTTTTGTAAATTTTGATACCCTTTAGATCATAAAAAATATGAAATATGATCATAAAAGATATGATTTTTATTTTATAATTTCTGCATGCCATCTTACCAGATTTAAACTGATGATCTATAATCCGGAATCGCTGAAGTCCCGAGGAGTCCGGATTAACGACTTTTCACTGTATAAACATTTCTACATACATAAAAATATAATATTTGTAAAAAAGTAATAAAGATGATAAGAAGTACCTGTGTTGCCAGGCATGGTAATTTTTAGCATCTTCGATTAAGACGTGTTCTGTTAACTTTTTTTCTTTTGAGGGATCTTTTAACCATTCTATCAAAACTTGCCTGTGATGCCTATAATTATACACAAGATTAAAACATAATATTAACATAAAACAAAAAAAAATGAATAAATAAAAAAGAAGAACATAGCATGAAATAAGCATTAAAGCAGAGAAAAATGTTCACAATAATTTGTAATATAGCTTTGTAAATTTCCAAAATTTATTTTTCGACGATTATTCTTAACATAGAAGTACTCTAAAAAATTGAAATACTTAAATCATTATGATAATAATCACATGAGGTTAAAATTTTTCAATGATGTTTCAATATATAGGAGAAAATTTTATACTAATTTCAATAATTTTTTACATGAAAATGAAATAAATAAATAATAAAGATAAAATTATATTATATTTATATTTTTCCTGAAATAGTTAAGGACATTCTTAATTTGGAGAGCTTCAGAATAAGTATAAAATTCTCGTTCAATGAACACAAAATTTACAAGATTTATTTTATGCTAGCTCCTCAAACTTACCCGCTTTTATGATTATATACTGAGCATGCACGTAGAGAGACATTCCAATTTTTCATATAAAAATTTATTTATAAATTCATTACAGGGGTGCTCTGAACAGAAATTTACACAATATGAAAATTAATTCATTTCAGATGCTCATTTAGATGCTTTCTTAACGCATTTAATTATGAAGAAGAAAAATGGGACATATTTAATTTTATTCATTAACCAATGACAATGCAGGAAGCTCTTGTTCTCAATTCCAGCAATTTCGTGGTTATTTATGAGAGCCAGCAAATTCTTCGATTCCAAATGGATCAATGTCACTATATTGAATCTGATTATTACATTTTTATTTGAAAAAAAAATTAAGTCAAAATTTTATATTTTTCAGTGTTTCATATTCCTGTTTTCTTCGTCTATGTAAAGTTTTATGAATAGTATCGGTCTAGGCAATGTAATTTTCTTATACCATGTTTAGCCTTTTTCCTTTGTGTTGTCATTTCCAGCACAGAAGAATTTGTTTATCTTTTACACCTGGTTCTGTTAATGCTTTAGAAAACCAAATTAACAAATTGAAAGCTTTCTGTTTTGCATTTATATCACATGTTTCTCATTTTTTTATAGTTATATTGTTTTTTATTCACACGTTTTAATATTTATCTAAAAACATACTATAATTAGGCAGAAAAAGAGTAGCAGGAAACGGTGTAATGTAAAAAAGGCAATATTAAATACATGATTACTTGTTAGGAAACCTGTTCTGAAAAATGTATGCACCGACTGCCCTTTAAAAATCTGTCTTGTGCCAAGAAATAAAGAATATAACTTTTATTTATTCATGAAATTCAAATACTTTGTCATTTTTAGTATTATCCCTTAAAATAATTTAACTTGACATTTTTTAAATTTAGTTTTATGATTTTCTGTTAATACATAATGTTTAACTCAAAGACATTATGTTCTTAAAAAATTAAATTTTATGTGATAAAACACAGATACTTTTATTCCATACCTTCATTCATTTTTTTATTCTGAATTTTTATGCAATTGTAATTACTGAAATACTATATCAACATGTTAAGTCCTTCATGAAGGCATTTCTTTTTTGTTAGGGAACATTTAAATTAAATAAATTAAATAAAAGACAGAAAATGAATTCAAGTAATAATTCATGCTTTGCTTTCAGTTTTACATAAATTTATTTAGGAGCTTCAGGTTTCTCTACACATAATTTTGAAGTCAAAATGTGATGGTTATGTTAATTATTAGAATTGACTGAAAATATTTATTTAAAAGTTAATATTTTGATCAAATATACCTTAAATTATTTAAATTATATTTTATTAAATCTTGTATTTTGATATATCTAGATATTTGTTAATGAAAAATGTAAATCTACAGAACTGATTATATAAAATTTTTAAAAAATTCCTGATATAAACATACTACAGCCCGCTGAGATAACAGTCATAATAAATGAGACATCAAATATAAAAGACAGAATTTGGATTTTCCATTTTACAGTTATAGAAATCAAAATGGTATGTTTGTTTAAATTTTTATTAAATACCAAACATCATACAGTTACAACTGGATTACCTCACTCCATCAGGCAAGTTGAGTGTTTAAATCAAACCATAATACCAGTTCTTTCAACATTATCACTAGATCACTCAACAAAATGGTACAAATATGTCAGCACTTAATTGATTCAACTTATCAATGAAGCATAAACACTACTTCATTCGAGTTTTATTTGGTATCAAAATGAATATTAAAGAAATAACTGACATAGAACTTCAAACCGATTTTGAAACTTACTACAAACAGTTTCGTAAAGATGCAAAGAATACTGAAAGTTCAAGAAGTAAATAAGAAAGCATAAAATTTTTAAAGCCATTCTCCAAAATCTTATGAAATTGAAGATTTAGTAGCAATCAAAAGAACTCAATTCAGGCCAAACCTCAAGTTAAAATTAAAATATTTAGGACCACAGAAAATTATAAAAATAAAGAATAATGATACCTATGACGTTATAAAAGAAGGAAATCATGAAGGACTAACACATAAATACTTGTGCGAAATACACTGAAAAATGGACCCAAGCAGAAACAGACATCTAGAACAATGACATATAAATCTGGACTGATTATAACTGCTAACCGGACTGTGATGTTTCAAGTAATAATGACTTTATTTTAACGAACTTTTTTCTTTTTTTAAATGAAACTAAGCTTTCCAAATATGCCAAATATGAAAATGTTTTTCATTTCGGATGAAGATTTTTGAAATATTAAAGGAACTGTTGATGATTCTAGAGTTGCATCCATTCCTATCCTTTCAACAGTGTGCTTAGCATTGATTTGGTTTGGTTTATGTGCTTATAGCAAAGCTTCAAGGGCTATCTGGCTAAGGGGAAGATTGCCTTTGTAGAGGACTTTCTAATGGAAAATGGCTCATATACACACACATGGAGAAAAACCATGAAAATGCCCATGCAGCCAGCCCGTTTTTGGGATTTGAACCTCAGACCGAACAACCAGAGTTCAGCAATTTTACCGCTTGTGGGCCATTATGACATAGAAATCAAACAATTCCATTGAAGCAAGACCTGCTTTTTCCTTCCTAATTGCTTCATTTGTGCTTTTAATATCATCATCAAATTATTAATTTTAAAAAATTTCCTGAGCTCTCAAACGAAGTATGCTTCCATCAGGATGTGTCCAACGTTCAGCAAGGGAAATACCAGTTTAACCATCAGTTCTTACAGAATATTGGATTCATTAAATTTAGGGATTGTTTGCCAAGAGAAAATTGCTATTTACACACATGTCCCGAATAGGGTCTTTAAAAAATTTAAAGACTTACCTAATTTGTTTTAGTTCTTAAATTTGAACCATTAGTCTCCAACTAACCAGTCAGAGGTACTTAGTCATATATTTTAAACACTCGCTACACTTTTCAGTCTTAAAGAAATTGTCTTAAATTATATATGCTTTAGAGAGAGTTAAAACATGCTATTCATCCAGAACAAAAATGACCTTAGCTACTAAAATGGAACAATGCTTATGTTACTGTTTAAATTTAATTAGGCAGACTTTCCTTTCCATTCATTATTTTCATGAGTTACGATATCAGGATTTCTTTCTTTTCATAAAAACTTTTGTTTAACTCCCCACACACCATAAATATATTCAGCAAATGAATTATTAAGAAAAACTTTTAAGATTTTTAAAACTACTTTAAAAAAAAAGCTTATTCAGTACAAATACTCAATGGAGGATAAATTACATTAATTCTAGTATCAAGTACTGCAAGTGAAGTAAAAATAATAACATGTCAATAATATTTCAGTGTTTGAAAGCTTAAAATAAATAATTTTCAGGGTAAATGAGAATTAGCAACATCCATAACTTACCACACTTGGTAATTTTTTGGATTATCTTCAATCATATGCTGGGAATATTCTAGTTCTTCATTCAAATCTTTTTTGAGTTCCTGAAGTAAAATTCTTCTGTAATGCCTTTTGAAAAGATCAAATTTTTTTTAGATTTCAGGGAATTTATATGTATAAATAATACACTCATGCAACTTTGATTGTTTTTACCAAAACTAAATTTAACCACTTGCGCTAAAAAGACGTGCCAAGCACGTCAAGATGCTTTTGTCTCAAACTGTGAGCGACGTGAACACCACGTCGATAGGAATTTATCGCAAAAATGAAAATAACGTGGTGCACACGTCGCCTAACAACGAGATTGTTTATTTCTCGAGTTACTGCTCTTTAGCGTACTTGCAGCCGCGGAGCGGCGTAAATGAGACACTTTACCGCTTGTTATATTCTAGCGCACAGCACCGCAACCGTGAAGTTTAGTCGTAGCGCAAGTGATAAATATTTAGATTTTTTTAAAGGCTTAAAATAGAAATGCTATAGTTACCAAACTGTATAATTAGATGGATTAACCTTAGTTGCATCTTCCGACAGTTTGAAGGCTCTTTCACTTATCTCCTTTCTTTGCAAAACAGCACGGAAATAGTCAAATATATCTTTAACTAAACAGAAACATGCACATAGTTTAGTGGCAAAATAATTTTAAAATAAATTCCTTCATATAAATTTTAGATTAAAGAAATACATCTCAAACTATTCAAACAAATATAGTATGCCAATTCACAGTTTGGCAAGTTTGATATGTTATTAAATACAATAAAAAATTCTTCATCAGTTTAAGAAATGTTTATAGCATTCTAAATTATTCTTTAAATAAGATGGGATGTTAGTACATGTCAACAATTTCTCTTTAAGATTACAAACAAACATTTTAAAAAATATATTATCTTAGGGTAGCATTAAAAATTACTTGAATACTTTTCTGAATGTTGTAAACATCCTATCCTGAGAATAAATTGAATTTTCCCCCCTTTTATCTCACAATTACAGATTGATTTGATTGAAAAATTACATTGAGAATACAGTTATGCACAAAAACTACAGTTAGAAACCTTTTTAAACTAAAACTAAATCACAAAAGAAAAACCAAAGCAACAATAATTCTTTTCTTTCCAGCCACACTTAAAACTACTAAATGATATATCATAATCATGATTAAATTGGACATGATGAATTCAGTCAGAATCAATTTACAGTATGTTGCACAGCTTCAGTCTTCATGCATTAAAAGAAATACATAAACTCTGAAAAAAGCAAAATCAATTTAAATTATTAATTTAAAAAAAAGTACATTCAAAAGGTAAACAACCCCTCCCCCTTTTTTCCCTCCATTTTAAAATGACAGAATTCAATTATGTAACTTAGAATGATACGAGGGTCAGTCAAAAAGTTAGTTGCACTGCCTAAGAAAACACAGCAAAACAGGAGCAAAATTTTACAATAACCTTATTTACATCTTAAAGTTCCATTCAAAATCTACTTTTCAACATAATTATCTTCATTATTTAAGCATTTTTCGAGGCATGGTACAAGTTTTTTTATGCCTTCTGCAAAGAAATCCTGTCCAATAACCATTGTTGGGCATCCGAATGGTACCGTCGCTTTGAAAGTTCTTGTTTCATGGGACCAAACACATGGAAGTCAGGAGGTGACAGATCTGGGCTATAAGGAGGGTGATTACACACTTCCCACCTAAACGTTTTCAGAAGGTTACATGTTTGTTTTGCTGCATGCGGTCTTGCATTGTCATTCAGGAGCACAATGACGTTCGACAGTTTACCTGGCCGTTGATTTTTAAGTGATTGTCGCAATCATTTTATTGTTTCACAATAAAAAGATGCATTAATTATGGTACCCTTCAGCATGAACTCTGTATGCACTATGCTTTCTCTGTCGACAAACAGCGTCATCATCACCTTTCCTGCAAATGGAACAGTTTGACACTTTATTCGTGTCAGGGAACTGCAATTTTTCCACTCGAGCAAGCTGTGTTTCGTTTCAGGTGAGAAATGGTTAATCCAAGTTTCATCTCCAGTCACAATTTTGTCCACAAACTCCTATCTTTCCATTTGGTATTGGCGCGTCAGCACCACCTATAGTAATACTTCATAACATTGCCTGTTCGTGTAGAGAAAAGCCATCATATTTTTAATGTTTTACATCTTCCCCCAGCCCTCAAAATTACAGGCTGGGAGAGGAAAGTATTAGTATATTAGTGAAGCAGGAAAAATTAATTTAGAGTATGAGGAAAGAGTTGAAGAAAAACATCCAGGACATAGCTTACAGGCTTTAACTATGCCCTATCATAACTCATGATCTTTCTCATATAATAAGAAAATGTTTAGAATTTTACAATGGAACCTGATTTATAAATAAACATATAACTTAAAACCATCTAAGTTAGAACTAAAAGACAATAATATATGTAAGAATAATACTAAAACATAAATTAAAATCATTAAGTCCTCAATTTCGTTCCAAATGTCCATTGAAAAGTGAAATTTTTGTTTTAAAATCCTTTCATAAAAATAGTTGAAATCGAATGAAAATAAGTCTCTTGATGCCGGTAAACCACAAGATAAAAATAAGTCCACAATACTTTTTTCAATGACGGTGGTTCCATAGTAAGTTTTGAATAGAAGATTGTGAAATTTTGTGGGGAACATCTTTTATATAAAACTTAGAAGGTATACAATTTATGCGTAATGTACTACTTGCACTCATGCTTCTTATTGTAGGTAAATAACAATACACTGACATATTTTAAAGGAATAAAAAAAAAACAATGCAAAACATTCTGATATACAGTCAAAAGTCATTAATCCGGACAGCCATAATCTGGAATGATCTATAATCCGGACCTCAAAGCTTTCTGCGCATGCGTCAACGCATAATGCGTTCACGCATAATGCGTTTAATGTATAACGGACGGTATAAGCTAAGCTAAAATTATCTAATTATCTATTTCAGTTAATGCTGCAGATTGCGTTGTTCCTTAATCTTCAAATTGGATCGGCTTATTATTTTTTGCAGACTGTTAGAGCAATTTTATAAAAGTAAGTTGGAACTTTCGATTATGTCAAATAGAATTTCCGATGCTGGAGCTACCGAAAGATCTACAAAGGGAAAGCATGTTTCGATGTTCATCAAACAATAAGTGGAATTGCTGCAAAAAATAGATAAAGGCTCCTTTGTTTCTCTAACTATTCCGAAATCTGTTTATCAATTTCACGCTGCTCTGCGTGGGGGGGGGGGGGTACGCCGCGGCGCGCAATGAACTGGAAGTTGATCTGTCAGCACTATCCTTATCTTCAGGGCAGATGTTTTTATTTTATTCGGCTTATAATTCCTTACTAAATGTAGTATTTCATCTCGATGTACTCCGTCTTTGATATGATTTAAATCAAATTCCTTGTCATTACAAATATCACGAATACAAATCAAATAGTTTTCTGGTTGCAATTTTCTAATTTTGACTATGCGTAATGTATGCTTTACGCATGCGCACGTTGAAAGAAATGTTTAATAAAGTAAACAAATAAGAATATAGCCTTTTTTTTTTTTTTTTTTTTTTTTTTTTTTTGTAAATTATGATACCTTTTAGGTCATAATTGCTCTTTATTTCATAAATTATGGTTTCATATTTTTAATTTTATAATTTCTGCATGCCATCTTACCAGATTTAAACTGATGATCTATAATCCGGAAAAATCGATAATCCGGAATCGCCGAAGTCCCGACAAGTCTGGATTAAAGACTTTTGACTGTAATACCTTAAGAAAACAGTTCAATATAAATCTCTAATAATATGCTGCAATATTTAATAAGACAATAAAACCTTGAATTAAATTTTTGGCATGTCCTCTCCAACAAATCAGCGAGACTAATTTGCTGATGGTTGGGTGGGAGGTACTTAAGTACAAAATATCAAAAAAACCTCCATTGCTTAGTAAAAGGTAATTCATTTTTGGCATTGTACAGTTTATCAAAGTGTTTTGTAAAAAATACAAAGTTCTACAAAATTAAAATTAAAATCTAAGATAAATAACTTATGTGATAAAGTTAAAGTCTTTTTTAGAATTTTAGAAACTAGAAATAAATATTACCCTACAACAAGAAGAAAGAAAAGAAAATTTTGTTCCAGAATTATGTAAGAAAGAGAAATAAAGAATATTTTTCGTTTTCTAAAATTATGTGAAAAATATGTGCCTTGTGTGTTTGTGGTAACACTTTGGTGCTGAACTATGGTCAGAGGATAGTGGCTGGTATGGAAAGTATTCAAAAACCCAAGCCAGTTTCTTAACCATAGTTGATTCTCTTAACAATAAAATAAAAAAGTAAAATTTTGAGGGGGTGTTAGGAGTATTACATAGTCAGGCATTGGGCATGTGCTATCACTTCTTACTTCCCTTTAAAGAGAGCACGCAAGAAGTAATAGACCTAGTGTAAAAACCAGCGTCGGGAAAAAAAAGAAATCATTCGTCTTCGATTTAAGAATCTGGTATGAGATTTTCAATGCAATGCAAAATCGGTTAGAGTTTTCCCTCATCTCATGGGCTAGGGGGAGATCCTGAAATTGTGGAAAGTTATTTAAAGGTTGCCTGTTCCCGTAGAGCAAAGCCATCGTATTTTTTATATTTTACATATATATACACACACATATATATATATATATAATAATTTATGTAATACATTTGGTGTCGCCAAGTGTAACCAAAAAGCAAGGTGCACAACTACATGTTATAGCAGTCCCATATACAAAATTTCAACATTCTAAGGCAACTCGTTTTTGAGTTATATAAGACATATACATACATGTGGACAGGCATCGTGAAAAAAATCTTTTCTGAATCCATTTTAAATTCATTTTAAAATCCGTCTTGGGGAAAAGAGTCCTTTATTCTGTCCGTACATACAGATGTCATGCAAAAATATCATTCCAATGCATTCGAGAATGGTCAAAATGGATGTTTTCGTTGAAATATGATACCTGAAATTTTTTGTGATTAGAATACTTCCTTTACTTCATACAAGGAATTAAAAAAAAAGGGGGGAGGGAATCTTTAAACGTTCATATAAGAACTGAATTTCTATTTAGGATTCCAACTTCCACTGGGCATGCTGAACATTTTCTTCAATGAATAATTTATTGTGGGATAAAAGAAACAGAGGTTAGAGTACATTTAAGGGTGCCCCTTGGATTATTGCTAAGTTTTTGTTTCACTTATCACCAAGTTGTTGTTTCATTTATGGTAACCTAAGTGAATGTTATGGCAACCCAAATATGATTTAATTAATTACATGATTGCCATCAATTGGAATTGTGAAAAGATTTGGAAAGTGTGTCGGATTTTGGGTAAGTACATTGTTATTTTGTGGTTTACATGGTAAAATGACTGAATGTGATAAGATTAATTTAAAGTTTCTGTACGATTTGGAACAAAAGGGAAAAAGCATTAATTGACTGGTATGTAAATGAAGGTTTACTTAGTAGCCATTATTAAGTGTCCTGTTTGTATGAAGGAAATGCGTATGGTCAAATGTCGGACAATACCGGCACTATGGAGAATATTTTTATGAATTTATATAGCGACGCCAGTATACAGATTTTAGTTCAGATAATTTTAGGAAGTTTTGGGATGCTGTTAAGGAATTTTGTTTGTCAGAACACATGTAAATTCGTAAATAAGGTAAGTGGATATTTCCTTTATGTAGGGCTATGATGAATTTCCTTTATGTTATTTCATTGTTTGATTTAAAATGTAGTTTATTGCGATTATATATATATATATTTTGGCTGTTCCTTTGACTTTTTAAGTGAATATAGATCGATATGTACATGGACAAAGTCAAAAGAGTGCGCAATGCCTAGTTTGTGCAATTCTCTGTTTTTTAAAGTGAAAATAGGTCGATGTGTACATGAATACAGAGTTTGTGCAATTCTTTGACTTACTATTTTGGATTTGTGTAGCGGTGATTTTTTAACACAAAATCAAAGAATTGCACAAACTCGGTGTCCATGTACCACCAAAAATCACCAAGAGGCACTCGTAACTATATTTTTACTGAAACAGATTACTCCCGAAAAATGTTAAAGCCAAGCTAGTTATTTGCAGTAACATAAAAACTGAATATAAACACTTTTTGAAAAAATAATTAAAAATAAAGTTTTGGAAACAACTAAGAATAAATATATATATATAATATACATATAATATATAAAAAAATAAAATACAGTACAAAGTTCGTAATCCGGACATCCATTATCCGAAATGATCTATAATCCGGACCTCAAAGCCACAAACTTTTTTTTTTTTTGTATGCTTTATGCATGCACGTAATGGATTTACGCATGTGTGCTTAATGTATAACAGATGGTATAAGCTAGGCTAAAATTATCTTTACTGATTCTAAGGCATTTCAGTTAATGTTGCAGATTGCACTGTTCCTTAATCTTCTAATTTGATCTGGCTTATTATTTTTTGCAGACTGTTAAAGCAATCTTATAAAAATTAAGCTTGAACTTTCGATTATGTCAAAAAGAGTTTCCGATTCTGGAGCTGCCAAAGTACCTACAAAGAGAAAGCATGTTTCGATGTACCACTTCCAATAGTGAAGAAAGTGACACAGAGGCTATTGAAAACGAAAAAATTTCGATTCACAAGTTAGTCGGTATTCTCGACACAGCAATTATAGGACTTGAACAGCGGAACTTTGTAACTGAACGAGAAATTATGTCTGTTTATAGAATTAAAGAAAATGTATTATCACATGAAAAACGAAGCAACTTAAACAACTTACATTGAAAGAAATGTTTAATAAAGTAAACAAATAAATATTAAGCTTTTTTTTTGTAAATTTTGATATCCTTTATATCATAATTGCTCTTTATTTCATAAATCATGGTTTCATATTTTTAATTGCATAATTTCTGCATGCCATCTTACCAGAATTAAATTGATGATCTATAATCCGAAAAAAACCCTAATCCGGAATCGCCGAAACCCCGACGAGTCCGGATTACGGACTTTGTACTATATATGCTTTTAAAGTGGCAATTAAAAAATAATGTAATTTTTCTCAATTAATAATTTAATATACATTCATGTGCAAAAAAATAAAGCACCCTTAAAAAGCAATCCAATCATATTTCTACTGCGCAACTAGTATCTCATAAAACAGGTAACAATTACAGATGGTTAATCTTTCCTTGCTGTCGATGTTGCAGTTTACTGGAGACAACACAACTAAACTCCATGTACTCCTTTCACCACTGCAAGACAAACATCCCCCTTGTTCCCAAAGCATGGAAAATGTATACATTTAAATTTAGATATATTTTAACGTTTCATAAATTAAACAAGAAAATGTTGAGGTATGGTGATAAATACCAAAACTTGAATATATATATATTTTCTTAATATTCATAAACTAAAAATAAATACTTAACACATAACTAAAAGGTTGACCTCATTCCCCGCTGAAACTATAAAATTCCCCTTCTGAGAGATAGACACTGTTGTAGACAACTGGATGACTTAACGTGGTCGCACAGTAGGGATATGTGAAGCAAGCAGATAAGCAACTGGCTTGCACCTACACTGTACAGTTGTGGATATGCAAAGGTGCTAGTAACAATGTTGTTGTGAGGTTACTCATCAGTGAAATCATGGCTGTGAAAGGCAAAGGTGCATGAATGCAAAGCAAGATCATAAAATTATATGACAGCCCAGACTGCCCCAACAGCATTACTGTCCACTATCCAATGTGCTACAACCTCTTCCATACCCTCTGCTATACAGGATTCCAAGCCAGTGTGGTATAATTTGCATTGTTCAAACTAAGAGATCCTTAAAATTTCATACTAAGGAACATGTAGCAAAGGAAAAAAGACATACATAAATCCTGTGTTGCCAAATATTGTTGTTCATAAAATCTGTTTTCCAGCAGCTAAAATTATTTTAAAAACATCTTCCATTAGTGGATTTTATTTTCTAGAGGTATTTCCCATTCATTAAAAATCTTTCAATTTTAATTAACAATCCCAATTCTAATCTATCTTTATCCTCAGATTTTAAGGAATTTATTTCGTAACTGTTTTCATTTTTCATCAATAGATGGAGCCAGAAGTTTGACTTCCTTTCTCTCATTGTTAACACATCAGCACAGGCTTCTTTTTTGTCATTTGCACTTCTGCGGCTGAAGCAGAAGTTCTATGTTTAAACCTTCAAAATTAATGCTGCAGATTTATGAATATTATGGTAATTCCTGTTGCCTTAACCCTTCTAATAATTTTTATTCAGTGTGTTCTTTTATTTAGATATAACAAAAGTATGAATAGAAAAGGATTAGCTTATATTTTATGGTACACCTTGAATTATCGCTGAGTTGTTGTTTCATTTATGGTAACCTGAGTAGTTGAATGTTATGGAAACCCTGTTATGATGTGATTGGTTGTAATGCATGATTACGTGATTTTCACAGATGGGAAAATATTTGTAAGGGCTTATATATGTGTTAGATGTTGGTTAGGAAGTATGTTGCTTATTTTGTGCTTTACACCATAAAATGCCTGCTGGTAGCACAATTAACCTGAAGTTTCCGTATACTTTGGAATGACTGGGAAAGTAAACATTGAGTGACTGGTGTGTAAATGAAGATTTAAATGGCTTCGTTCACCTCTCACTAAATTATGCAATGAGATTTAAGCATCTGGACACTAGAGCTCATATTAACATCATGGTAGCTATTTGGAGTGTAAAAAAGGGGATTTTCAGGAGAAATGCTACCAATAGTCTGGAGAATATTTTTCCTTTTTACTTTTTTCAAATTTATAAGAGCAACAGCAGTATACAAATTTTAGTTTAGATAATTTTAAATAGCTTTTGAATGCTGTTAAGGAATTCTGTGTGTCACACATATTGAAGAAACAGAAATTTTTAAATCAGGTAGGTCGATATTTCCTTTTTGTACTGCATAGATTAGATAATATGTATTTTCATTCTTATGTTATTTCCTTGTTTAATTTAAAACACAGTTTATAGAGATTACATATTTTTGTTTTAATTATGTTTTATTGCATTATGTTTTGAAAGCCATTTTACTGGAGAGGGCATTGAATCTAAACAGGAATGGTGCCAAAAATTCGCCAAAGATTTTTACCATAAATCTTGATGCAAAAGATAAAGAAGAAACAAAGTACAGATAGAAATGGTATTTACTATACCATATTAGAAATGGCTTATTAAAATGTTATTACATGATTAAGAAGTACAGGTTTTCAAATGATTTACTCTGTTATGCTCACTACATAGAAGATACATTTATACCTGCTGGAATAGTTACTAATTCCTATTTTGTATTGCAATGTTCGGATAATGAAAACAACAGCATTTACTTTCAAGTGTTTAAAAATATAATTAAGATAAATTTAGAATTAAATATTACAAATAAAATCATACATTTATCAGAATAAGCTATCTGTACAACAGGATAAGCTCCACTGTCCTGAGGAACAGGTTCTACATCATTCCATTCCGGTCGGTCACGATAGAATACCCAATCCACATCATAACCATCAGACATTCTAAAAAATATTTAATAAAGACTGCCACTATTTATCATGATATGAATATAAAAATTTACACTCAAAATAATTTAATAATATATAAAAACACTAGTATGAAAATAATTACATAATCAAAATATTCACTGATCTAACACTAGAAGAAAAACAATATTCATTTCTAACAATTTTTAACAATCTAGATTTCAAGTAATTGAAGCAAGTCAACAGCCTCAAAAATAAAGGGATGTCCAACAGTTAGTGATAAAAGGCAATTTAAGGCATATAGCACAAAACTGTACTTAAATGGAGACATATATAACATGTCACAGAGGGAGGTTGCAGCACATCTAGAATATATGCCATTTATTTTGAAGTTCAACTCAAAGCCTGGACAAAATATTTTGAGGAGCTGCAAGCTCTACTGCCACTCTGATGCCTGTGAAGGTCCTTCCTAAAAGCTTTCAGAAGCAAAATCATATACAGTGGATGGACAAAAATATGGAAACACCTTGTGAAATGCATGTTTGAAAAGAGAGATTGATTTTAATGAAATATGTAGGTGGCGCTGGCGTTTTTGATTACTGGCGCCACCTATACAACTTCGTAAATGTGCTAAACAGTTCAGTTGTTGTCGGAGTACTGTTATGTGAGGTTGTCATTGCATTATGTCAGAGTTAACAGATTTCGAACGTGGGCAAATTGTTAGAGCACGTATGGTAGGTGCTTCCGTAAGCAAGGTAGCCGAGGTGTTTAGTGTTTCAAGAGGTACTGTATCGAAGATTTATTCTGCATATTTGAAAATTGAAAAACATCATCTGCTAAATCACAGTGCGGACGAAAGTGTGTCCTGAGTGAGTGAGTGAGTGAGTGAGAGATTATGGCGCAAAACCAAAGATGATTATAGTGCGCCAAACACGAGATGGGGTGAGTACAATTGATGAAATTAAAATACAATAAATAAAAACAAGTAGACAAATGTATCAAATCCAGAGGATGAAGTCATATAAGAACAAGTTAAAACCACACATTTAAAATTCAACAAATTACATTAGGTGATAAAAGCCAGTCTCTTTTAAATAATAAAATAAATTACAATTGACCTCTCTTCCGATTAAACGGTCGAGAGGTAAGTTGCAGCTATTAAAATATTTCTGGCGAAGACTATTAAAACATGGACACTCAATTAAAATATGACGAACAGATAAACAAACATTACAATTAAAACACACAGGCTCATTTTCAGCTTTGAGAAGATAGTTATGTGTCACTCTAGTGTGGCCAATTCTGAGGCGAGTTAAAAGAACTTCCTCCTTACGATTTCCAGCAAAATCCCAATGCTCAATTCTAGACTTGACATTTCTCAACTTGTTGTGATGCTGAACATCCCAAATTTGCTGCCATTTTTTTTCGGACCTTTCCCTTGATGACACAGCAGACATCTCTAAAAGGGATAAGGCGACTGGACAGTTCAACAGCAGATTTTGCTGCGATATCTGCAAGCTCATTTCCCTTTATTCCAGCATGCCCAGGAACCCAGCAGTACAGGACTTCATATCCTTGAATCGTTAAGCTAATATGAATTTTCAGAACATCCACTACCACAGGATTCTGAGTGTTGGGAAAAGCTTCCAAAGATTTAAGAGCACTATACGAGTCTGTACAAACTATGAACTTTTTGTGGCAGAGCTTTGAGATGTACAAAAGACCATAATATATTGCAGTTAGTTCAGATGTTAGGACTGAGAAAGCATGGTGCAGGCATCTGCCCTCTATGTAATTTTCAAATACAAAAGCCATCCCGACATGATCATTTGACTTTGATCCATCTGTGTATATCGGAAAATAACTGCTATATTTCTGCCTGTGCTCAGCAAAGAGTTGTCTGTAAACGATCTCGTTAGTGCTTGCCTTCCCGTGATGTTTGAAAACATCAAGAAGCTGAATCCGTGAATTTTCCCAAGGTGGGATTTCAAAGTTCTGTACTGCTTGGGGGTGCATATCAGAGAGGGAATGTTCCTCAATGATAGGGCGAAGTCTTAAAGGAAAGGTAGGAACACAGGATGGACGTGTTTCCAATAAAGTGTTACATACATTATCAAGTAAGCACAGCTTATTGGGATGTTCAGGTTGTGATAGAATACTAAAATATTGCAAAAGAGATAATTGCTCACGCCTCAGATAAAGTGATGGTTCATTAGAGTCAACATACAGGCTCTGGACAGGAGAAGTCCTGAAAGCTCCTGAACAAATCCGCAGAGCTTGATGGTGAACAGGATCGAGTTTTAACAAAACTGATGATCGAGCGGATCCATAAACAACTGAGTCATAGTCCAGTCTAGGGCGAACAAGGGCTCTGTAAATGCAAAGCATAGAGGAACGTTCTGCACCCCAGGAGGTGTTTGCCAACACTTAAAATATTTAATGTTTTTAAACACTTCTTTCTCAGGTTTAAAACATGAGGAAGGAAAGTCAATTTCCGGTCGAACGTCACTCCTAAAAATTTTACTTCGGGCGCAACTGGAATAATTGTTAGATATAACTCAGGTTCAGGATGGAGACCTCGCTTCCTACAAAAGTGCACGCACACAGTTTTTTATTTGGAAAAAGTAAATCCCTGTTTGTTTGACCATTCCTGGATCTTATTCAGAGCCACAGAGTTTATTTTTAAACTAAACAAGATTACACTAAGCACACAGCCTTGAGGCACACCCTCTTCCTGTTCAAAAACATCTGACAAAACAGAGCCAATTCTTACTTGAAAAGTTCTAGCGTTCAGGAAATTCTGAATGAAAATTGGTAGGTTGCCGTGCAAGCCACTCTCGTGAAGATCGCGAAGTATACCGTATCTCCATGCCTTATCATAAGCTTTCTCTATATCAAAGAAAATTGAGACAAGGTGATTTCTTCTTACAAAAGCTTTTCGAATGGATGTCTCTAAGAGGAGCATGTTATCTACGGTTGTTTTCCCTTTCGAAAACCACTTTGATAAGGCAATATAATATTATTCTTTTCCAAGAAGTAGACTAGGCGGCTGTTTACCATCTTTTCAAACAGTTTGCATACGCAACTGGTAAGGGCAATTGGCCGATAGTTGGCAGGATTCCTTGGATCTTTCCCTGGCTTAGCAATAGGAATGACAACAGCTCTCCTCCATGCACTGGGAAAAATACGCTCCTTCCACATTCTATTGTAAAGAGTCAGTCAGTGACTTATAGGACAGATGCTTTAGCATTTCGTAATTTATGCCATCAAAACCCGGAGAAGACTTATGTGTCTGCAATAAAGCTCTCTTTAATTCCAGCATAGTAAATGCTCTATTGTAAGGCTCAGATTTGGTAGAGTTGAATGCGATGGGATTTATTTCAGAGTGCTGCTTGATAGAGAAAAATGTAGGTGAATAGTTTCTGCTGGAAGAAACGGCAGCAAATGTCTCACCAATAGTATTTGCAATTTCTTCTATGGAGCTAATCACTCGGCCATCTTTTTCCAAAAAGGAAAGTGAGTGGTCTTTATATATTCCGCATGCTTTTCGAACTCTTTCCCAAACCCGCTTACTAGGCGTAGAGGATGTTATTGACGACACATATGAAATCCAAGAATTCCTTTGGTTCTGCCTTCTTACTTTTCGTGCATTTGCTTTGGCTCTTTTAAAGGCTATGAGGTTTCGCAGTGTAGGATATCTATGAAAAATAGCCCATGCTTTTTTCTGTTTTTTCAGTGCTTCATGACAGTCGCGATTCCACCACGATTTCGAATATTTTAGTATTTTTCCTGACGTTCTAAGAATCGAAAGCATAGCTGCCTGAATAATAGTATTAGTAACAGCTTCAACAGCGTCATCGATATGCACATCTTCTACCATTTCCTCTGTGAGCTCTGCGGAGGAAGAGAAGAGTTCCCAGTCTGCCCTGTCCAGTATAAACCAAAGGAGTCTCGACATGGGGTTTGCTCCTCTTCGTGCAAGAGATACATAAATCGGATAATGATTGCTGTTGTACAGGTCATTTCCGACACTAAAAGTGCAAAATGGCAACAGAGATGGTGAACAGATGGCAAGGTCGAGGGCATGGAATGTCCTTGTAGGCTCATGGAAGTACGTATCCTGCCCATTATTTAGGAGACAAAGGCTATGATCTTCGATCATCTGCTCAATTTGTCTTCCTCGGCAATTTGTATCTTTACTACCCCAGAGTGGACTATGGCCGTTAAAATCTCCTATTATGATAAAAGGCTCAGGCAGCTGCTCTATTAGATTATTTAAATCCTGCTGATAAATGTGCTCATTTGGAGGCAAATACAAAGAAACAAATGAAACAACAATATGAAGATTTATTTGAGTAGCGACAACTTGGAGGGATGTCGTCAAAGAAAGTACATTTGAGGGATAATCCAGTGAGGAGAGGAGACCTACACCTCCACTGGCACGCTCACCTGCAAGGTTATCCTTTCTGACGATAGAAAACCTCCGAAGTTTTGCATGTGTTGTTCTGGTTTCAGATTTGTTTCCTGTATAGCTAAGCACACAGGATGATGATACGCATTATTATAGATTTGATGTCAAGCAAATTTCGGTGGAAACCGCGACAGTTCCATGACACGAGGGGGGCTGTTATGTTATGAATGGTTTTTTTTGTTCTTTCTGTGCTCTTGTTTGGTTTTTCGTGGAAGTAGATGCTTGGGAACTTCCAGAAGGTCGATCTCCGAGATTACATCTCTACAATAATTGTTTTGTGCGCTGACACAGTTATAGATATTTCTCCAAGTTTGGTTTGTCGGGATAAAGAAGCAGACTGGGTGGCCGATATGGTATCAATAAGCAGGTCTCTTGATCGGAGTCGCTTTATGTTCCTTGGCTCACCTATACATGAATGTATATATTTGCTTACGAGAAAAGGAGACATCTTTTGCAGTTCACCAGAAGAACTAGAGACAACGAGGAATTTCAGTGTTTTCGTTGGCATTTGCATTGGTACAGATCTTCTTGTTAATGGATTTGTCAATAATCTCAGTATCTTTGG